TCGCGAAGGACGAATCACGAAACGCGAAGACCGAATCACGTTTTCCGGAGGCTTCTCCGGATGACCACTGCGTTTTTGGAACGTTGTTCATAACACAACCTCCCTAGTCGCTACTCCATCCTCTGTAAGTCTGAGTGCTCATGAACCAGTGAACCATATATCACTTACGTCCACGGCTGCCGCGCCACCACCGACACAACACAGCTGCAGGAACAGAAGCCGCACATGGTTTTGAACAGTGTTGAGAAGGTTGTTGAAACCAAGTCATCTCCATCGTCTACTCCCGCCTCGCTGTTCTAGATACCCATGAAGTATGTGTGCCTAGTAACTGCTCTCATCGGCGGCCCTCGTGCCGAACCCAGTCACCAAGTCCAAGATGCCGCAACAATGAGGCACACGTTGCGACATGCCGGCTCGCCAGCCCGACGCTGCTTCACCGACGTGCAATCAGCTCCAAAACCAAAAAACTTGTAGATATAATATATATATATATACATATATGTATATATACATATATACCTGCGCGAAGTCTTGCCATATATATATATATATATATGTACACGTTATATGTATGTAGATGTAGATCTATTTATGCATGTCTGTCTCCTTGTCAAACTTGCAATTCCAAAACAACGTTTGCGAACTCTTGTGTCCAGCTAGATAGCATTGACGTAACGTGTAAGGACTCCAAGCATGAGCTTTGCACATCTCTGAAAATGTTTTGGCGAAGCTGACGAATATCATGTGCAATGACTCTGCGTTGAAGATTCAAGAGGTTCTGTCACGTGAAGGCGACAGATGCCACACGTGAATTAGTGAAGACGTATTCCTAGTACCCAGCTCAAGGCTAACAACGAGACCGGTACACAGCAAGCGGCAATGCTAATGATGCCGCCGGCATCCCGGTGCATCATCAACATTTTTAGGCATTAAAAACAGATATATTAAATATATCTCTTTCGCTTAGTTGATGCACGACAGCTCTGCCAGGATTGGTGGCTTGAACAAAGACAGTCACGGAGTCTTTCATTTTGTACGTGAGGCTGGGCTTGCTCGTTCGGCTGGAGTGCAACGCAAGGCATGCCAACCTCCAGCTGCAGCTGCATGTGCATGAGAGACCCATCACTTGAGCATAGTCAGCAAGCAGTAAGCAGCAAGCAAGCAGCAGCAGAGCGGCAGCAAGCAGGAAGCATCATCTCGGATCAGCCCTGGCGCAGGGTGGGGTCGAAGGCAGCTAGTGTCAAACGCAGTCACGGAGTTTTTGATTTTGTATGTGAGGCTGGACTTGCTTTTCATTCGCAGCACAAGGCAAGGCACGTCGGCCTCAAACTCAGTGTATGAAACAGAGTGGCGCAGGGTGGAGTCGAAAGGGGGGCCCCCCCGACATCTAAAAGCATATCTTAAATCAACGAAATCAGGACACGTAGACTTCTACCACCCCCAATATAATTTTGCTAAAGCAAGGAGAACTCAGGTAGCCGAAGCTACCTTTCGTGAAAACATCATCTTAAGCATGCTTAAGACACCCGCGCTCCGAACTGCCCAGAAACCCTATAGCTCTGCTAGCTCTGCTAGCTCTGCTAGCTCTGCTAGGCAGGTCGCACCTCCGGGTCATTGAGGTGATCCACCCAGATCCGGGGTGCCACGACATGCGGCGCGTGGGCCATGACTGTCAGTTCCATGGCTCGCACGCACGTCTAAGGGCCCTGAAAGGTTGGCAGGTCGGTGTCCCCATCTGTGGGCCCTGCCTGTGTCATCCCCAAAAGCATGCTTTACAGTGGTTTCAGAGGTTCAAGATGGCACTGGCACAGATGTCTTAGACAGATGGGGATCCATTTGAACCACCGAACTGGGGGATTGCGCCATCTACTCTCAATCCACTGTAATAGACTCCCAGACCCGCCAGGTCCTCCTCAGCCAGCAATGCCACACGGGGAGCCCGTACAGCTGTCCGGAGCTGCTTGTGCTTCAGTGCTGAGGAGCACAGCACCTGGACATCCAATCATATTCATGTGGATGTGTGTCTGAAATGAACTCAACTGGAGGCAACCGGTTCTTCATCGACCTTGTTCTACCAGTGAGAGCATGAAAATCTCTGAGTCAACCACATGGCAAAATCCCATCCACGGATCCGATCACCATGCTTCGCTTTGCTTCCGCAACACACAGAACTTGTCATCCAAACAGCGCGGCTCCGCGCTGTTTCCGTTAGGCCAATGGTACCACACAAACCCCATACCGGTCACCCAGGTGCTGCGGCTGAGGACCGAGCTGCTGCGGCCATGGCAGAGGGCGACATGCCCTGGAAGAACCGATGTGGGGAAGAACCGGTGCCATGCAACTTCAAGAAGTGGTCAAGTCACCATTTCTGATGGCCATGAAAGAATATATTGAGTTGTATATCATGTATCATATATCAATATATTAAGCGGATTATAAATATAAATCATATGAAATTACAAATTATACAATATTATACATAACTTAACCAATTGCTGCTATTCCGGCCACAAAACCCAAAGAAGCAGGTGGATGAATCCACGGTCCGTGTTCCAGCTTCACCAAACTCGAACCACCGGACAAGCCAGGTCGACCTGGCGACTTAAAAGGCAGGTGACCTGGCAGGTTCGACCTCGTGCGATGAAAACTCCGATTTCATGGCGAGAAGACCAACTCATCGTCGTTCCCACCGCGGGGGCGACACCCCGACTTCTGCGCGTCCGGACGCCCCTAAAACGATGCGCAGGACGTTTTCGCGCACCTGGGACGACGGCCAAGCCGGTGAACGGCGGTGCAGGCTTCCTCGCAGGGGCACAGGTGCCCAGGAGCCCTGTGGCCTGGCCGAGGCTCCGCAGGTTCGGCCAAGGTCGTGCGTGTTTTGGGGCCGGCCGAAACCCGACCTCACATTAAAAAAAAGGAAAACCGAGTTCCCCCAGAGTGTTCACAGGGCTCGAAAGCCGGGCTTCGCAGCCTTCGTTCCTCCGAACGCCCACGGGTGCCGGGTGCTGGGCGCTGGAACCTTCGGCAGGGCCCACAGACCCCAGCGACTCGGAACGACTCAGCAAGCGAAGCCCAGCTGTTTGGACTCGGACAGTCACTGCCACGGGTGCACAGACATGCTGCCACAGGTGAAGGACCCCAGTTGGGTTTCAGCACCGCTTTTGGGCGCGCGTCGATGCTCCATGTCGCCGTCCTTTGACACCCAAAAGAGTTAGTAAGAGTCTTAATGAATAACCCCCCCAAACCATGGGCGGTGAAACCATGTAACATATTTAAAACCACGTTTATCGCCTCTTCATGTGGGGGTAATGGTTTTTCTCAAGATGCTACCAAAAAACAAGCATGGATCACCGTCACCCAGATTTATGCCCCAGGTCCGAGGCTCAACCCATCTGTGTCGGGGAGGCTTTGAAAGTCGAGCCTGCAGCCTGGAGCTGTAGACTCTTGAGGACCATACACCCCGCCCCCCTTGAATGGAAAATCTTCTTCATCTGGGGGGTGTATGGTCCTCAAGAGTCTACATTAAAACTTGAAGAAACAAGGACGCGGAAGGCTTCCTCCATCCTCGGCTTTCGCTCGCCCCCGCCCCGCCGTCGACCGGTGACCGTGCGCGTTTCCGGCGCGCGCTGTCAAGCGAACGTGCGTGTCTTCCCGGTTTGGTGACAGCTTCATGAGAGAATCCAAAGCTCATGCTCCAGGGACCCCAGGGAGCACGGCAAAAGCTACATCTGGAGTAGTCTGGACCAATGTGGGCATCCACGGCTGGATAAACGCAGGTGTTGGGGGCAACAAAACCTCCACTGACATGCTGCAAAACCAAGACTTCTGCACCGCAACCGCTCTTCTTCACGCGCATGACACCGGAACCGAAGCCTCACGGCCCAAGCAGGCTCAAGACTGGACATGGCCTGGCATAGTTCGGCCCTTTGATGTGCTTTCATTTAGCCAAAGGCTGAAGGGCTGGACCCAAACAGTGAAACGGTCTATACAAACTGAATCGTAAACAGTAAGGGAACAATGCCTTTCCGTCAAGGAACATACTCGTCATTTGGTCGGAGTGCGCGACGAGCGCGAGTTCGTCGCGGCGGAGAACCAAAACCCCGCGTGGCCGATGAAAGCAACGGTCGCACCTCCAATGCACCGGTGCTGGATGACGCAGAGTCTACAAGGGAGGTCGCTTTGGAAACACTTGGCTTTGGCTGGAGACATGGCAGATGACTGACATCGGCACACAAATCATGATCATGACTGACATCGGTTGTAGCATGGATGTGACTTGGAGATGCTGCATTCATTTTTCCGCATCCTGGTATGACATCTTTGAGCCCAGGCTGGGCAGGTCGGCGGCGACGAACACCAGCTTCATGCTCGCTGAGCTTCCGGAAGAAAGCGTGAAAACACCCGTCACCTCGATTTGGGGATTGATGGCCATGGTCCACCGATTTAAGGGTTCTTGACCGACACAACTTTTGTCTCACTTAAGGCTTATAAGGCTTAAGGGTGTTTAGATGTTTTTAGACTGCAAAGCCCGGCGAGTTTAAAGAATCTTGGAAGGGTGGGGGTTTGCCGGAAAAAAAAGCAGGGTCGCGGGTTTGCCGGAGCGTGTCTTTGGTCGGTGAATCCGGAAGCATGTGCGGTTTTCCGGGTCTTTGGACCCTCCAATCCTCCAATCCTCCAGGATGGTCCAGTCTGATGGTTTGGGGTCGACCCGTCGACCCAGCTGTCGACCCGTCGGTCGACCCGTCGGTCGACCCGTCGGTCGACTGACACGGCACCGCCACGGGCCGGTCAAAACCGCTGAGCGACCCTACGGCCGGCGACGCCCTCGCGGAGCGCCTTCAGCTTCCGCCGTCCCTGGCGGACGGAAGCTGGGTGGAAGGCGGCAGCGGCGCCGGCAGCAGACGGACGCTGAGGAGGTCCGGAAGCACCCAAGGATTGCTGCCAAAGTCAAGTCATGAAGCGGCTGGATTGGAGGATGGATTGACTGTTTGGATTGGGTCTACAGGTTATCACCACGAACTACTAACAGGTTTTGAAGGAGAACATCGAAAGGGAATTTCATTACCAGTCCTGGCAGGTCAAACAACGGTGCAACTGTACTGTGATGTTTTGGCTTTAGACCAGGTATGACGGTATCACATACCCAACCCGTGCGCGTTACGCACCATTGTGCTTACTTGGACGTCGGGTCGCTCCCCAAAACCCGTTTTCGCTCCGTGAAAGGTCGCAGACCTGGAACGCGAAGCTCTTTTCCAATCCCCGGGCCCCCCAGACCATCCATAAGACTGAAAAGAGTTACAGTAGATGGATTCTTCTGTCGCGTCTTTTTCTTTCTGGGTGAATGTATGGTTTCATGTGTCTCTATTCCAGTCCTCTGGATGGTTGGAAGATATCAGGTCAGTGGACCTCGACTTGATTGGGCTCGTTCGCCGTTTTGGGGAGCGGCTCGCGGCTCGTTCGCGGAACGAGCGCCGTGTTCTTGGAGGAACCTGTTTCCAAACTGGTGGGAGGGCACCTGTTTGGGGGGGATGAGGCCTTCAACTTTGCTTCCAAACCAGCACACCAAGCTGGGCATCCGGTCATCCGATGCTGCGCTCAGAGAGAGCAGTTCAGAATGCCCCTCATGGGACTCAGAAGGCCCGTCTGAAGAAGCACGCCATCTAGCCAACTGTGGTGCAAATGGATCAGCTGGAAACTGATCCCCGATGTCTTTAGAAAAAAGAAAACATCCACACCTGGTGAATGAGTCTGATCCTTTTTCAAAAACACACCATCCACACCTTCAGAATGAGTCTGACCTGCACACATAGACCTGGGCGCCGGACCACGCTGCAAGTCTTTCTCCTGACCCGCTGCGACCACTCTGTGATGCTCCCGAGAGCGTCCGGCCGCACCTTCCTGTGCCCTGCCAAAGATTGCCGCACTGGTACGGTCATGTGTCGATTGCGGTGCCGCACTGCTCCGGTTGATGCAACAGGGATGGATTCTGTTTGCACTGGGATCACCCCTGAAACTGAGATCACCGCACTGGGTGTGCGTGTGCATCGACTGACTGGTCACTTGTCAGTGAGGCACTGGAATCTGTCGAAGAGTCCAGTTTTGCTTGGTGGCAAGGCACGTGATCCTGTTTCTTCAAACAGTTGCCAGAGTGAAAAGGCTTCTGACCCACAAGAGCTTTTGGGTCAGAAGTAGCTTCAACTGTCCATGATGAGTGTGATGGCACAATTGATTATGTTACCTCCCAATGTCCAAGAACCTTGGGTGTCTTCGCCGTGGAAATACGCGTTTGTTGATCAAAATGAAAACGCAATGTGTGGCGTATTCAGTTTGCTTATGAAAACCGTTGCTTGCAGACCCGAGTGAAGGTGTGACACTCCCTGATCATGATATCCAAACAGTCAGCACTTCCGGCAAGAGTCTTGCAGTGTTGCATCTTAGCTAAACTAAACCTTTTGGGCCTTGAATCTTCAGAATAAACAATTGAGATGAAGAAACAGAACTATCGGGATAACTGGAGATGACTGGAGTAATCTGGTGAAACCCAGCTTTTCAGCGTGAACTAGTCAGCTGAAACATTGGTATAGCCCGGTAGCATCAAGAAGAAACACTTAATTAAGTCACTTAGATGGTAGAACACTCCGTGCAACCACATGGTTTGAGGGAAACCTGTCTGTCACATCCAGATGTGCCATGGCACTACTGACTGCAAAAGAATGGAGTCGTCGACCCTATGGTTGTCCCGAATCCGACTTTCCATCCGCACGGGTGTGGATGTTGTGACTTTGTCCCAATCCTGGCCATCTCTCACCAAACCTCGCCCATAGCGGGCACACTCACGGCGACATGCATGCGATGGCGATCCAACGGGAATTCATGGGCCTTCGACCCATGTGTTCCGTCGATACACCTGGAGAGAGGAGCCACCACTGTCTGGGTGGGACACGTGGCGAAACACGCGTGGCACGATTCGTGCGGATGACACATGGTGCAGATGGTGGTACACTTCGATTCGTGCGTACTACGTACCCCCTGCTTCGAGATTCCTTTAGTGGAGCAAATAAAAGACTGGGTAGCGTGAAAAGCTTGGATCTGATGAATTTCTTTCCTGAAGTTCTGGCTTTCGGGGCGATCATGTTTGAGCTCAAACTGACCATTGTAGCAACCCAAAGGTCGGTGCTTTGCAGAGTTTAGGTACAGTCTAGGTCAAAAGCTGTGGCTCCAGTCGCCCACAGTCAAGTATCCACCACTTCTGGCTCCAACATTCCTCCAGAATAGATTGAAAAGTCAATCCTCTTTGAACATTGGCAGTAGTATGGCTGATTTCGTTTCAAAGGTGGACCTCTGCTCTCTGCCGTCTCCTGGTCACCCACTTGCCACATTCACCGCAGTCGGTCCCAACAACCGACGAAGCGGGAAACAACTGGGCGATCCGCTTTTTCCGGCGAGCTCGACCCCGTGGTGCGCGGATCATAGAAATGAATTGGAGAAGAAGTTCACCGCACCTAGAAAAACACTGGAGTTTCACAGAGACATGGATGTGAGAAACATTGGTGAAACACTTGTTGTGGAGACTCTGAAGTCGCTGAGGTTTGTCCAGGTCCAGATTGCTGAGGTTTGTCTCACAAATTACTCACCCTCGCCGATCCAGCTCTTAGCTGCAGGTTGCTTCCTCCATGTGGATCTGTGTTGATAGCATTCCAAGTCACTCCATGTCTATGATCCAAAAGTCTCGCAATCAAAAGCTGCGAGGGTCAAAAGGAAAATCCGAGGAACTCGATGTGGAAGAGTCGAATGTGCTTTCATTCCGCCCCGCCATTTCCCTCAATATTCATGGGAAGGAAACATGAACAAACCAACCATCCACGCAAACTCCGTGCCCTTTCAAGTGGTTTGTTAAAGTGTCAGCAACTGCTTCAATTTACACAAGCATCTAGGGCACAGAGTGCCATACACGTGGGAAAAAAATAGACTCCCAGTCCCAGCGTCAAACACACCCCAAAGTGCACCAGGCAGCAAACTCCAAAATGCAACCGTGGTCATGCAAAGCATACCCTTGGTAAAAGGAAACCCTCTTCAGGGCATTTCAGCTCCATGTGACCATTCTAAAGTATTCTTAAGTGGTGTCTCCATGTGACCCCCTCTCACTACTTTTCCACCACCTGTGCCATGTCTCCATTGACCATCCTAGTTAGGGGGAAGTTGAAACCTTTGGGAAAGAAGCTTGGGGAATTGTTGATTCACCCAATTCTAACAACCCGGCTTCATTATTTCTCTGAACCTATCTTATCGCAACAGGAAGTACAAGGGTCAGGGAGATTGCTGGGGCTTGGACAAACAGCTGTCCTGCCTGGCTTAGACAGACCGTGAAATCCAACTTCCCCGTGTTGTGACCCTGAGCCCTCAACTTTCAACTCAGAAGTGTGCTTTTGGATTTCATATGATTTGATGCTTTGATCTTTTGCGCCTATACAACCAAGCAGCAAATCTGGACCTTCACATCGAATCGAGGCTTGTCTTCATGTTGCCCGAATTCTTGGCACCTGACGCGGCGAGAAAGAGACGGGTTTTCGCAAACACAAAGCCATGGGGCATCTGCAAGTCTGTGACAAAGGAAGGTTGAATCAAGTTGAATCCACCAAAAAGGGTGTGTCCCTAAATTTGGGCCAGATCTGCAGATCTGCCCTCTGATCTTTGTGTTCAACACATGTTCAACACATGCTGATGACAACAGACCTCCACCGAACCTGCCTTCGCACTGGGAGGATTTACCCAGCTCACACTTGCCTCGCTCGCAGAGCATGCAGGGAGGCGCCCTACCCCTAAAATGATCTAAAATGTCATTTTTTCTGATCTTGTTGACTTTCCCTCTTCATGGGCACGGTTATTGCGAGTTTCAACAACAGAAGTCTATCAAACTGAAAATAGAAAGTTGAGTTTGACCCTCGGCAACTTTGGCCTTCCCAAGCTACTGGATCGATTCTCACACAAAATAGTTCTTTCCTCATCCTTCCCACTTGACCAGACTAATGCACTTGCCAGACTATGTTGGAGCGCCTGGTCAAGAGAAGCTTGGGGATCTTGGATTTGCTGTCCAGGAACTGAAAAGACTTCATATATCTTCCCCAGAAAGAGGATGCATCCATGCTAAAAATGAACCTCACCTGATTCGCAACACCTGGAAATTCAGCGAAAAAAGCACTTCGTTCGGTCTCCCGAAGACTTTGGTCTCCGAACACCACACCAAAAACAACCGCCGTGTTTTCTGATCCGCTCCGATGAGAACTTCCGCTGCTCTGGGAGGAGTTGCGACATCAATCACAACATCCTCTCCAACATTTACACTATCCGGGGAGTACTTGGCACCATGGGCATTCTTGTTTACAGAAACAGTACATCATTCCTGTATGGCAGACACCTAGGTCTAAAGTCTAAAGAAGAGCCATCAGTTCCGAGTATGAACAGATTCACTCGATGGGTCCAGCTCGCGGTGGCCGAGTTCAGTTCGGAGTCGACCAACCAGAGATCCAAGAGTTGGGGCTTGGCAGAATCGACCAGCTGGCCCCTCACTCACAGAGATTCACCCTTCAATCATATTCTATACCTAGCGCTTCCTGTCAAGGTGCCCTGTGTGGAGACCTGTAAGTAGTGTGGAGATATCCATTGGTGACCCCGAACGGAAGCAGCTGGTATAAGATTCTCTCCTTTACAGGTCCCTTTTTGAATTGCATCCAACTGATGGAAGAACACCGGCACCTTTTCTGGCAGCCACCGGCGCAAAAAAGGATGAATTCACTCAATCTCAGGCTGCTCAAACTCGATTCTGGAGTGAAAATGGATGTCATGGTGCTTCAACACCAACACTGGATGCTTCAGCTGCTCCAAGCTGCATGTACTTGGGGGGTCGCTTCTCGATATCCTCCGTCGATCCTCAGGTCTGGAAAAGACGTCTGGGGAATCGTCTGGGGATGGCGCAGTCTCGAAAAAACCAAGGCAGTTGAAACTGACAGGTTCCTACATCAACACGAAGTTGGAACTTCCCCAGTCTTTTCAAATCTCTTGATGTTGCCATCTCGAAAATCGCAAATCTGTCTTCCTGGCGAAGTTCTTGACTTCTCCCCTGTTGGGGGGTCCCTTGAGGGATTCAGACGTCCAAGACCATGTTTGAGGTTCCTCGCTTCCGGCTCCGGGAAGAATAGTCGACCTCCAAACGAGAACAAATACGCACCCAACATCTTCTGTCAAACAGAACGACATGTCACTCATCATCGAGTTCAGAACGTTTTTTAGACTTTCCAGAGCTCTACCCACCAAGGCTTACCCACCGAGAGAACCGACGACGAAAAAGAGCTGCTGATGCTGCAGTTTCCTCCGATCCTACGATGACAGTCTCCCTGCATCTTTTCGTCCACCGGCCCGGGTTGCGGCCATGCCAAATGCCCCCCACTGTGCAGCCGAAGGTGCCAAAGATAGCCTCGGTGCAGTGGACTCCGGTGTCTTTCCATGGGAAGTCCAGTTGTTTTAATCCAAAAAGACAGAAAGGACGTGCTGAACTCGGCGGTTTCAACTCACGAACGGATAGTATGTCGGTGGAAACCATAATCATCTCAAGTAAAAAGTACTGAAGCTGCCACCTAGATTGACATGTGAGCCAAGGAAATCGCTTCTTCGTTGTACACGTCCCAAAACAAAATGGCTGGTAGAACGGTAGAACGTCTTCCAACGTGGCAAAAGCGTCGCTTCGAAGCTTCTGGTAGAAGCTGCTCCTTCGGCGCCAAGCTTGGGTCAAACGAAAGGAACAAAGACCATCCATGTATGGCCTATGTGCCTACATGAGGGTGGTGGATTTCAGGGGTAGGCATATGAGGTGGTTGATTTCAGTGACGGTGATGCTTTTTTTGCGATTGCATCGTATGACCGGACGTGAGTCCTTTATTGGTTCCACATGTGTTGAGATTCTTCTACTTCAATAATCATCAATCATATTCATGTACCAGGACCCCCAGTCGGGGTGGTTAATGGACACCCCTTAACAGCTAAGGGGCTATAAATAGACCCCACCGTGTCGGGTCCTGATATATTCACATGGTCAAGACTCGCGATCGCCTGAACCGCCAATGGATGCTCGTCATCCCTCCACACCCCGCGGCCCACGGGCGGCCCACGGATGGCAAGACGTGGGTCATGGCACCAGAAAAAAGAAACGTGACATACCAAACATGAACAGAAATGGAAGCGAATAGACATGAATAGACTACTTTACTAGACATGGTCAACCTACCAAAATGTTGACCCACAGCCATATATACCCATAATCCGCATCCTCCAAGGCACAAAAACTGCAGATGAAACCTCGGCAGGCTTTCACACAGCTGGCCATGACATCGTGGGTGAGATCCCGTTCGCAAAGATCCCGAAGGCAAGATCACGTCTGAAGGAGAGCCAAGGAACACTTGATTTGGGGCTGCAGGTTTCTTGTTCCCTGATTGGTGGTTCTTTTCCCTGAACACCCTACCCCTTAATATCCCTTAATTGGTTGCGGAAGAAGAAACAGAGATTCCGTGACCAAATCTGTTTCATCCCTCCACACTTTCCCAACCCGAAATGGCGAAGCGTCTCAACCACCTGCACCCCACCCAAGCTGGCTTCAACCCCATCGCTGGTCTCCGGCGGCCCGGTCTCCCGGTCTGCTGTCCGAAGCGCCACGAAGCACGCAGCGATGATGCCCCAGACCAAGGACCAAAGCCCCGTGGTCTCCAGCAACACCGCCACCAGCGCAGGCCCTGCGGCACCAGGCAAGGTGGCCTCCAAAACCAGACGTCTCCGGGCAAACGCAGGAAAATCCTTTTGGCAACATGACCAAATCCATCATCTTCCCATCTTCAAAGCTCCATCTACTGCCCAGTTCTTCATCTTTCGTCTCCATCCAGGTGTTCCAATCCAGGCTCCCCCGCCACACCATTGCCCAGGCTCACGAGCGCCACGGCATTTTGCGGCGCTAAATCCAGGTACACGGCGTTCATCGCCGTGTCCAAGACACCCATAAACCTCGGATCCGGATCATTCGAGTCGAGCCTTGGAGGTCGAACCTTCGACTGACTGTCGGCCCTCGGTCAGCCCCGGAGCGAACATGGCGACCGTCGCGACGGAAGAAGGTGCCAGGAGCCCCCTTTTTGGCTTCAAAGAATCCTGCCAAATGTGGACCAAAACAAAGAAGAAGCTTGAAGGGTCGAAGAACACTTTCGGATCCCTTTTGGTGTTCAAGTTTCGAATCTACTTGGTGGCCTTTCAAGCTTCCCCGCAGTGCCCACGGATGAACCGTGACGTTCACGTCCGACTGGGATGCCGGGCAATGCAGCTGTTATCATCGCAAGGCTTGCAAAAGGGATGCTGCGCAGGTTCCCAAACAAGACCTCGATCGATTTGGCGGTTGGTGATTTTGAGGACCCCAAAACAGCTGTTCATGGTGTGCATCCTTAAAAAGTCCTTGACCCACCTAGAGTCCTTAGTCCTTTGCAAGTTCCCTTAGTCCTCACCTAAAGCTGCAAAGCGGACCTCAGCCTACAGCCTTCATCACTGGGGTCGTTGGACTGCCAAGGTGTGGACTTCCGGGAAGATTCAGGGTGTGTGCTCCCAAAACCCCTAAAAAAGGACCTCCGTTGCCGCACTCTTGGTCTGAAAGAAGTCCTTTTACCTTATTATAATGTCCACGTCCACGCGTGTTCCATGAACCGCTCTGAGAGGCCAAGGCAAGGCCTGATGCCAAAGCAGCAGGGCAAAGGATCCTCTGCACGGCTGGTCGGAGGGTCCTTCGATCCGGGTTGAGGGATTTCTATCATTTGGAGGTCTGTTGTTCGCGACGCGAAGAAGTGTTCTTTCCCCCCCATGTTCTTTCCTGCCTCGTGTGTGGGGGGGGGCTTTCCGCCATCCGGCCGGCTGACCTCCGGCGAACCCAACGGTACACGGGTCGGTCGGTCCCCCGTCGCATGGTCAGCAGCGGGCAGCGTCGGCTCTGCAGCCAATCGGTACAAAGGCCGCCCAAGATGGATCCAACACCTGCGGGGTTTTCAGGTGGGCCGCCCACTACTGTGGGCCGCGGCTTGAAGGAACGAAGAACAGTGGATAGGGTTACAGAGAAAGATGTGGGATGTGGTGGGATCTCTCTGAAAGGAGTGAGATCTAAGGATAAAGCTGCGATTTGGTGCTCGTGAAGATTCTGAACATGTTCCTGTACTTGAAGCAAAACTTTGCCCAAAGGGGGCGCAAGCTTTGAAAAACACCAAAAGTCTCCGTCCCACGCACCAAGAAAAGGAAGAGAGAGAGAGAGAGAAAAAAAAAAAAAAAACATCAAATGAGTCAATGAGATACAAAATACAAATAGTTAATCCATGTTAATCCAAATAGTAATCAACTACAGCCCAATCGATGACATGACTTCTCTCCATGTCCAAACTCCAACAACTTCGGAACAGCGGACGCACCTGAAAAAGCCGCCGGCAACATGAGGTAGAGCCCCACACTCTCCAAGGGCAGCTCCAGCACCTGGCGAGAACTTCTCAGGTGCTTTGGGAAGAAAGAGCTCTTCTGAACTTCTGGGTTTCAACAGTGTGTTTAATCGCAAGCTTGAGGTGCTGCTGGCACTCCCAAGAACCAATGGTGTGTGGATATTAAAATTCCTCTCACCCCAAGACTTATGTTCCAACATCAACTGTCTGCTGCTGGGAGGGTCATCTGTTGTCCTTTGCCACCCATTCCCCTCCTCTTGGGACAAACCCAAATATGACACACTGAAGACCTCCACACCTCGGTCAAAGTGTAGCTTTTGAGATGAGTCACCTTAATTCATTGGTTTAAAAATCCAAGATGAATTCACAAGGAGGTTGCCAACCGTTCTTGTATTCCACAGCTCATCGAAATGAAAGAACTGGTCAAAGATTGATTCGGAAACTAAAAGGTGATCTTCGGAAACTTTACGAAACTAATCTTCGGAAACTAAACGGCTGTCTTCCGAAACTTACGCTTTTCTTCGGATGTTTTTCTGTGGAAGCTAAGGTGATCTTGGGAAACTTTAAGTTTTTTTCGGAAACTAATCCTCAGAAACTTTACGGTTTCCTTCAGAAACTAATGTTCGGAAACTACGAAGAGCAACATCAAACCTATGTAGCCGTCTGTTCGAAAGAATTCGTCTGAGATCTCTTGCAGTTTAGTACATTTTACTGTGGTCCGTCCCTTCATGTGGAATGGGAAGGGTGTGAGAAGCTGTCAAAAAGATTGCGGGCCGCTGCTTTGGGGAAGAGTGACGAACATGTTTCTCTGCCAAGGCCATGGACACTATGGAGGCTGACGGTGCCACGTGGCCGAGCAGGCGACCGGTCTGACCATCCGGGTACCTCTGTGAAGTAGGACGGGCCCCAAGACCTCGGGAAGATCGGGGGTGAGTTGACAAGGAGTGGAGCGATGGCGTTGGGCGCTGGGTCCGAAAAAGCGAAATGGCGCTTCTTCCATGAGGTGGATCGGCCAGAAAAGCCCAGGCACGACCTGTCTGGGACTGACATATTGACCTCAGATTGACCCCTTTTCAATCAATCACCCCCAATGTGTAAGAGATAAGAGATAAATATGCCAGTCCCAGACGGCCTGTGTCAGGTCGATCTGGACTCAAGCTCCACGACCGACTGGAATTGAAGACTTGTTGAAAGCGCAGATGGGATGCAGAATAGAAAGAAGGACCTTCACGTCTTTTCACCTGCCTCTGTGGGCAAGAAGAAGAACCGGTGCCCCTCTCCCCTTTCCCCCACATTCCGGTGCAAGCGTTCTCATGCTCAAGCATGCCACAAGGACTACATAGAGGCTGCAAAACCCCAGGTTTCACACCGATTCCACATGTCTGTGGAAAGGCAAACGCCAGCCTGGACGTGTTGGGCTGGGCCGTGCTGGGCCCCCCGAGCATGATGGTGTACATGGCAAAGTTGCTGCTACCTGGGACATCCGCTGGTCGCAGCACTCAGGTGCGTCTTGAAACATTGTGGCATTACGGTGAGACGGAGAATGTGGACTATCGGGTCCGACCAAGCAGTACATGTCATGACCAAGTTTAAGGGAAAATGCTTTTCTGAGTGCTTTTTGGGATGGTTGCTGGGCAGGAAATCTGAGCCTTTTTGTATTCTATCATTTTCTATCTACGTAGAGGACGAGGGCACCTCATGGTTTTCGCGTTGCAAAAACCAACAGCTCTGGAAGCCCCTCTGCCCAATCCCGGTGCCGCAAAGCTGCAATGTACCGCCAACAGCGCCAGGAAGCCAGGATGCTTTAGCCTGAGCTGAAGTTACATGTCAGATAAATCTTGAGCTTGCGGCCGTCAGGTCGCAAACCCCTCGACAGACTCTCTTCAAGGTCACTGTGGAACCCAAGCAGTGTCCCACTTCGCCCTGACCCCCCGGACTTGGCCCCAAAACCGCGGCCGTGGCTCTGACCTTCCCAACCTCTGAGCGGACCAAAATCCGCCGAATTCTCTGCCGGGAGACGCCCAGAGTGGCAGAAAAGATCCACCGTGCTCGCCACCTTTGCTATTGGTGCCTGCCATCGGTGCCACCCACCGAATCGCTGGAAAAACGGCGTTCAACGGCTGCAGAGGAAAGAGTCGAAGAGTCGAAATCGGAGGGTGAGAGGAAGCCATTTGAAGCTTCGAGGAACTTCACTCGCAGATCTGAAGGCTTCTGAAGGTGCCCCTTTCGTTTGCCAGTGTTCGCCAGTCAAGTCGATTTCGTCAAGGAAAAGTTGGGACGAACACGTGGGATGGTCCAGAAGAGCCATTCTATATCGGACAGTTGTCTTCCTTTCACAACTGTGCTATCGACCACGCAACGATGTGACGTGCAGAGTGCATGAGTTTTACTGGAGCCCAAGGCAGAACTTCCGTTTTTGACACCACGGACCCCAACGGGACCAAGGGAGTATCTTCTGGACTCTCAGGCCCCACCTCTGCCATCTGTCCCTTGCCATCCTCCTGGCATTTCAACCGATCTAGAGGTCGCAAGCCGAGCCGGTGGCCCAAATCTGCCGGCGCCTGTGGCCACCACATCTGCATCACAGGTATCCTAGGAAAAAGGGCCAGGGCCGAGGTAGGTTGAAATCGTTCAAGTTGCTCCCCCCCAAAAAAAAAAGTATACTTCCCTGCACAGGACCACATGGAACCCCAAAACCACTGGGTTGCACAGGAAAAGGTTCCATATTTGTTTGCAGGGGGTACGAAAGTGTTTTGAGGTGTGGGAGGAACATCTCCACCCGAACTCTTCCTCTCGCAAGTTGCAACCCGGCTGTGGGTCAATCATCTTGGGAACAAGTTCAGAATGTTCTAGTTCAGTTTGCTCTTCGACTTCTCCAAGGACTGATTCCTGATTCCTTCCGTTGGGGTCCACCTGAACAACGAGTTGTACTACTCACTCATACTTTAGTTCTGGTCACTGAAGATATCCCCAGGATAGCAAACAAAGTGTGGAAATGAGATGCCACAGAATCACCACGAATGACCCCAACTTCTTCCTTGGCCATTTCTCACCCACCTTCTCATTTCCACCTGCGCCGGCCAACCAAAACATCCGCGTCCGCACATCTTCCGCGCGCGGAACCACGCGGCTGCTGCTGCCCACCCCCGAACCCCGCGCCTCCCACATCTTCCGCGCGATTTCCATGCCGGCCTCTCGCGACTTCGTCATGGCAAAGCCCAGCCACAGGAAGGCCAACCTGATGCTCGGGGTTCTGACGACCCACATCGGGCCCCGCGTTCCGTCCGCCGGTTGGGACCGGTTGGTTGTGGTGGGCCAGGTTGGTGGAAGATCATGGACGTGTTTTCGGCGATTCAGCTTCACCCCAAAATCGGAGCTGAGATGCAAATTCAGGCTTTGAAAGCTGGGGAATGGAGCCGAAAAAGGGGGTTGGAAAAACACCAAATCCCAAACAGAACAGCTCCAGAACATTCCGCCTTGCGGACCCATGGGGACCCCCTTGCCATACATAAAAGGAATTTTTCTTGGAGGGTTCCCTTGTTCCAACTGTTGGGTTCGAAAGTCACCTGACTCCCTGACTCTGCCGATCCTCAGGGCGGACCTGGCGCCCGGAAAGTCACGACCCATCTGAGGGCTCGCCCGCGCTCCCGACACCAGCAGCCGCCATCCGCCAAGCCACATCAAGCTCACAGTCCCAAAAATGGCGAACGTGGCTCGCCAGCCGGCCTGGCGAAGTCAGAGCTGCCAGCCGAAGCCAAGAACCATGGCATTGTGTCTAAACTCGCGCCAGGGCATGAATCAAAAATGAATGTCAGTGATGTGAACTTGCACGTGATGCCATATCAAGTCAAGCGCAAGACTCAAAACCCTTGAGGGGTTGGGGCGAACTCCTCCTTTCAGGGTCATTAGAGAAGTCAAAGAGAAGAACTGAGTCTCAGCTCATGGAACTCGATCATACTCAACCAACGAGGTGTTTCACATACGCTGAGCCACCCATCTCGCGCCCAACCGCCCTTGCCTGAGAGCAAATTAAGGGCGCCAATACCGACGCCACGATCTGACCAAAACGCATGGAGAGCGCTCGTGCCGCCAGCGAACAACCTCTTTCAGAGGCCTCAGAGGTTCTTCAAATGTCTTGAGTCTTCACTTCGGCAGCCGCACCAAAAGATGCTGCCCAAAACATGGTAAAGGATTCTGTGACATCTGATGTTGTGACTCTTCTCTTCACAAGACCTGATGCCCTCACTCTTCCTCTCAAGGTCCAAGGTGCTGGAACATAGGCGGAGATGAGTTGCATCGTGGTGGGCATGAGAGGAGATTCGGCCAGGCCCAACAGGGTGAGGAGCATCCAGGTGTATCCAAATCCCAAGTCCGCCACCATCCTCGCCGCACGAGACGTCGGAGAAACGCCGCCGACGTCGTTGGTTTTTCCAGGCGGTCCCTCTGACCTGACGGGAGGGGTTGAAAAAGGTGAAAGGGTTCCGCGTTTGGCGCGGCTTTTGGGGGTCGAGGTGTGTCTGGGATTTCATGGGACCTCACGGCTCCTGGGAGCTCTGGAAAAGCACGTTTCCACGGCCACGAACCGGTGCGAGCAGTTTCCCCGGGCAGGGTTCCACGGCCACGTGGTGGCGGTCGTGGTGGATTCTCATCCTCATCTTAGCAGTGTGTATTTTAATAGCAAGGTCAAAGGTCTCCAAGCAATGGGTCTTGGCTGTTTCCCTTCTTCCGGTGGCGAACTAAGGGACGACTTCCTGTTTGAGCTACACATTCATGTCCAAGGATCGGGATGGCAATGGCCAATGCACTCCACGTGATGGCCGCACAAGCCAAGACCATCCCAGCGCCCAAGCGCGCAGAGATGGCCCCTGAGCCAGTTGTAGGTGGACAGGGGAAAAGGGGGAGCGTCCATCTCTGCCCTCTCTTCAGCATCGGAACAATCATCAGCCAGCAAGGCGCATTCTCTCAAGAGTTGGTTACTCACTCTTCGAAATGATTGCTCTGAGAAACTTGCCAGCTCTTTTTGACGAACGGGCATTGAGTGGTGAACCGCAAGTCCAGCCAGTCCCTCGCGTGGCTTTGGCCGGCGCTTCCCAGATGGACCCACGCATGCCTGCAAACAAGTTCCCTGCGAGGTAGCCCCAGAAGAAGGCACCCAGGAGCATTCCCTGGCAGGCTTGAAGAGAGCTACAGCGAAACCTGGGCATTCAAGAATGTTCCATAGCGTTCTGAAGAATTACAGTATATAAAACCATTTGTAAAACCCAACTTTCTCGTCACATCCCCACCTCCATCCCGATTTATGCCTATCAACATGGGAACTCACCATATGGACCCTCCGACCCCGACCAGCCGCGAAGCCACGAAGCCCACGGGAACACGTGCGCGAAGGAAGGACACCCTGTGCAAGACACACTGTGTCTCGGTCATGTCCTGCTTTGGCTCACAACGCAATTGCGCCCAACGCACTGTGCGCCTTGAACTGCATATCCCAATTGTACTCGTGAACCATCAAGACCTTGACTGCCATGAAGAAGGCATGTAAGGCAACTGAATGGTCCACATTCAATAAACACATCACATCGGAGTGCATGGCATGGCCTCTTGGTCAGACTACGAACTCTACTCCTTGGAATGACTCCTTGGAAGTGGCAGCGTGGTCACCTTGGGTGACCACGGTGACCACGCGAGCTCCTCCAGCTGCACCGGTGCATCCACGTAACCATGATGATTCCAGGGAGTGCAAAACAGGGTCTTTCCCACCTCTCCCAGTGTCTCCCAGTCACAAAAATGATATAAAAACCTTCTCGCGACTGGTCGATGTCGGTGGCCCTAGATAAATGGTTTTGATGTCGACTGGAGAGATGCCAAGATGCCATGTGTGGTAAGACGTCTCATATGTGGCACGGATGGGTCATCTAAAGGACCCAAAGGGAAACGGTTGAGTCTACACAAGGCTACCAGAACCCATCTAAGAGAACTCTGGTTCCACAAAAAGAAAGTTGCTTTCTTCTTAGATGGGTCTTATAGCAACTCTGGTCTCCTGTGGGAACCCATCTAAGACCCAGAGTTCTTCTTATAGATCAGGTCTACCATGGTCTTTCAGTCTTTCTTCATTTTTGAAGCCTGTGAGACCTGTGAGACTTGTTTTGCACCAAGTGTGCAGGGCCGCGTGCTTCGGTCAAGCCACTGATGACCGAGAAGTCAAGCTTCTTGGAAGCATTGAAAAGGTAAACATGGAACATGTTTGATCACTTCCAAAACATGGATTTGGAGCCAAAGCCGCCTAAACAATAAAACAAGACCTGCTGTAAACCCGCATCCAAAATCCGCCGTATTGGTTTTCCTCATCTCACAATGGATCGAACTGAAAACCCCGGGCGGCCGCCCAGGAATCTTGGAAACGTGTCAGTGACCTGACATACACCAGGAGGTGACCACATCATTTTGTTGGTCCGACTTAGACTTAGATTTAAAGTGAACAGAAGCCGAGCCTCAAACCCACACCATCTTAAACCTCTATTTGGGGAACTGCCCGCACGCTCCCGTGACTTCACCGCCCCACGTTGTGCGGCGCCCGTTTCACGGCGCCCCTTCGGCAAAAGCGCGGTCGAAGGTAGAGCCCGCCGGGCAACCCGCTCGAGGGCCCGAAAACGTCGGCCCGTTCGGCGGAAGAGTATCCCTTTATATATAGTAAGGTAGTAGAAGTATGTGATAGGATCGTGACACACCGGTATTAGTAAGTAAATAGCAAGTATGTTAATTTAAGTATATCGTATACATAAGGTAGGATCATGATACACCTGACCCATCCTTCCCCCTTACATCCCCTGGCTCCTGGTGGGCCCAACTGGGAGTCTCGGTCTATGACTTGCCGAGGCACTGCACAGGTCCCTGCCGGTCGCGGGCGCGTCTTTGGGAGGTCTCACTATTTTCATGCACATCCCATTTGCATTCGGTTGTTGCTGGGTTGCAAACCCTCCCAACCTCCCAGTGGATGAATGGAATTCGGTTCCAGGCCAAGGGCCCTTTCTCGAAGCCGACAGTGATGTTCTTGTTGACCGACTGGTCATAGGATTGGGGAATGTTCGCCGTGCAGTGGCCGTGGCGATGCGGTTCTGGCCCCACGAAGGACGCTTCACGCCGACGGTTCACGGTGTCGCGGCCGTTTGGCTCCGCAGTGGGCAGTCCGCAGTGCGGGGTGATGAGCCAATCAAAGCAGAAGCCCAAGAGAAGCATCGCCCCCAAGTGTCCCCTCATCTTGTTCCACCCTCGTGTTCAAACCATCATCCTGTCACGGGCTGAAGCCATCAGCGACACACTTGCGGCCCCCCAAAATGGTGGTCACATGGTCATTTCAGTTCCTTCTGCTCTGTTGACGGCCCGGGCCTAGACAAGTGCGAAGAAGGTAGTTGGAGATGCCAACTCCGGCCTGAGATCCCAGTCCCTTCGTTGTTCGTAGATCGAGAGACGGGTTTTTTTCGTAGTTCGCTTCGGTTGGTTCGGGAGACCAAGTCCCATAACAATAGAAGAACTGGGAAGGGGAAGACTCGCCACATCATCCCCTAACCAGCCACACCTGTTGAAGTACTTCACAACAACCCTTCAACCCTTCAGTCCCTCAAAAAGAGCCGCGGAACTATCCGCCGTCAGGACCAGCAGTTCCATGTCGGGGGTGCCTATTGGAGGATCGGGGTGCCCAATATACAAAAGAAAAATAATAAGAATAGAATAGACATGTTCTTTGGAACTGTAGGGATGTCCCATGTTCGTTGGTTTCTTGCCAGGTGACCATGAGGATCTGCATTCGGACCCTCGGCACCAGCAGTAGCCAGTGGCTGTAGAGGTTGGTCACCTCGATCGGCCGTGGGTGTCCCGCGCAGAAACGAAGCGCGCAGAAACCCGCGTCGAGGCGGGGACCACCGCGAGACAAGGAACCTTGCACGAAGACAAGGGTCCCCGGGTCCCAAAATGCGGCAGAAGACAGCACTACGAAGTGCTGAGGTCTCTCCTAGTAGCGTCCTTGCTCCTGGTAGCGATGCCCTTTGTTACTAGTAGCGATGCCAGGAGCTACGTTCGTCGCTTCTTGCACTACAAACTGCAAGGTCTTCTGGACATGTCCGGACCAGGCTTTACTTGGTCTGCGAGGGAAACTGCCATGCGTGTGGTCCAACATAACTCGAAGTGGTGGGTGCACTCTCTCTCTCTCTCTCTCTCTCGCTGTGGCATCCTGGGTGGTTCCGTGTCGGTGAACCGGCCCCCTTTGTAAGGCCTTAAGTCAGTCGACTCTCAACTCACCAACACAACTCACCAACAAACCTGCTACGTTCATCGCTTCGACGATTCTTTCACCCAGCGATCCAAGCGATCAGAGCGCCGTTCCGGTCCGATCCTCTCATATCGAAAGCGCTGCCCCCTATCGAAAGCGCAAAGGTGCGTGCGTGTGCGTGTGCGGCCCGCGGCCCGCACCTTACAAATGCCATGGCTTTTGGACAACTTCATCTCCACCAAGCCTCGGGGCTGGGAAGATTTGGAAGACGCAGGAAATTCGGCAGCGAAAGGGCGTGCACTTGGGCAACCCAGAGGTGTTTCATTTGTTTCCTCCGTATTCTATATCATCTCCAACGACCAGAAGAGTGACCAGTCATCGAACTACTGACATCATCCTTCGTGGTCAACGAAGGGAACCACCAGCCGAGGTTGACCTCGCAAAAATGGCGCAAGGATGTCCACCTGGTTGTTGAATGTTGTGGAGGGGGAGGGGGCACAGGATGGCACAGGTCACCAAGATTGCCAATTGCCCAGCGATTGGAGCAAGTCAATGTGAGCAATGGAGGGCTCTCAAATCGGTGGTGCCTTCTTTTGGAGCGTGGGACGAAGAGTCCAACCTGTCGAAGCAAAGATCACAAAGACTGACGCGATCGGAAAGAGCTGAGCGCCGCACTAGCAGCTTCAAATGACAGCATTTTTTCATCTGTCATGGCAGCTGCCCATGGGGGGGGCGCCGATTTGAAATGTTTTTTGGCGGCTTCTGCACCTGTACCTGCGAGCCTAGGCTGCTGCACCCCATTATCCTTTTGGAGAACATGTTGTTGTAGAAACATGTGTTTCACTGCCGATCTCCAAAGGTCTTCTGTATCATTCTTTCTTAAGTTTGTCTCTGCCCCAGTGGGCCTGTTATGCACATGAAATGGTGTGACTTGCTGCTGGCTTCTGATAGCTTTCCCAGTTCATGAGACAGGCAAAACGCTTGGACCTGTGAAACAAGCGAGGCACATCAATGCATGTCACGGGCTCTGAAGGTTGGGTGTCATTTCATGCCGCATGCCCTGAGCACCGACACAGCCGCCCAGCCGCTGATCAAAAACCACTGTTACCAGGGTCGCTCTTGTCCAACCGAACCCAACAATCGCAAACCTTCGCCACCTCTCCACCACGTGGACCTGTTTCTTGGCGGAGCTTGTTCTTGCCGGAAGCCTCCACGACTGTCCCCTTCAACACCCATGTGACGGCACCGTGACTTCTGTGGCACCGTGACGCATAGGAAGCTCACCATTCCGCCCCTCGCTGCGAAGCTCACCTGTGGTCCCACTTTCGAGTTCGTCTGAAACTGCTCGATGAGGTTCATGTCCTGCATCACGCGCTGAGCTCCCTGAGCTCAGCATGGAGGGGTGTCGTTTCCAAAAAAAGCGCGCGAATCGCGATTGGGGGAGAAGCATGGAGAAGCTAGACTACCAGGGCCCACCATTTGAGGCGTCTATTTATAGCCCGTATCCCATGTGGGTCCTGGTAGGGGGTCCTCCAAACTTCTGACCCCTGCAAGACTCTTCAATTGCCGAGCTGGACTACATCCTCAGCCCACCTCCCACTCTGGTCAGCGAAAAAGACGGGTGAGTTTGAAGGTAGTTTTGGTCAAAGCCTGAAAACTGCAAATTGTAAACCAGGACCCGGCGACAAACAGGTCACCAATGGTTCGACCTGAGACAGGGTCCAACAACCCTCAACTAACAGCCTGGCCAGGAGGGTGCTGCAAGCTGCCTCCAGGTCTGCTCAAAGTTTCTGCTGTCTTCACTATCAAAACTCAAATAGAGGGGAAGGCTGTCAGCACATCCGTACAAAGAAGGGTATTGCTGCTCCTCAGTACCAGTTTGGGTGTGTGCAGCTGGCATATGAACTTGGAGTTACAGTCCGCGAGAACAGGTTCGTAGTTGGCACACTCCATGGTTGAATAAGGTGGAGATATCTTTAGCGATCCAGGAGCACCAAAAACAATTCTGTGCACCTGGACTCTGTTTTCGTATCTCCAGATTCAACTCCTGCATGCCAACCATGTCGCCACAGTATGACTCCCTCATATGCTGGATAGCCCATCTCAGAGTTCTGATGACAAAGCCTGGTTCTTTTCACAGATTAGTCCATTACTCTCCCCAAGAAAAGAAAGCATAATAAACAGCAGCAAGTGGCTGTTTAGTGCGCCACCAGCAACGAGAAAGCACCGCTTCAACCGAACCCCCTGGGATGAGAAAATCTCACCGAACCGCGGTGAACTCGGAGCCGAAGCATGGAATTTCCCAGCCCTTCCAGAGAGAATTCTGGTGCCTTGAACTTCTCCGAGAGATCTTCCCACTCTGCCTCCCCGGAAAAACACGCACGGCGCGAGTTTCCTCACGCGCCGACGGCACGAAGGGGAAGCGACATCGGAAGCAGCCAAGCTGGGGCGAAACGGGAGAAACGGTCGGGATCTGGAAAAGACTTACACCAAGTTTCCAGGTCGATTAGGCCAGCGTTTCATTTTGATCAGTGATTTCGGGTGCTTCTCTCTCCTCTTGGCCGACCAAGAGTTGTCTTCTTCCGCTCCTCCCCCTCAACCCTCCCTCTCCCCATCCACATCCGCCACGCCGCCATCCACATCCACCAGGTCGCCTGGGTCATCACGGTCCCAGAGAAGTTCAACTTCACATCCTGTCGGGGGCCCCGATGACGGAAACCGGGGGAGACGGCGGAAATTCGATCAAAAGATGGCCATTTTCATCGGGTGAAATGGAAGAAAAGAAGTATGGAACAAGCTGATTGCTTCCCGTGATCTGAGACATGCTGGCCGCCCAACCTGGAAAATTCCGCTACCGAAGCCTGACTCGCACATGAAACGCTATGAAGTCCAGTTCGACGATCTTTGACTGAAGTAAGGGAAATGCCTAAAAGAATGATCACCCAAAGACCATAATATTTTTTTTATAGTCTTTGACTCCCAGGCGATGCACTTTTGGGCCACTCTTGGCAACTGCGGACTTTGCGGATGGAAAGTAACTCAAACCACCGCGACAAGGTGCCTTCCCGCCGAACGAAAGAACATGTTCGCGTACGGTGCGAGCCGTCCAATCCGGTGCTGGGTGCAGCTCACGGTAGGTTGAAACTGCAGACTGACTGATCCTGTTCAGTGTGCGAAAACCATGAGCAGAAACAAATCATTAATCATGTCATCACAATTCTTCGACACATGAGACTTTATGCCCAAAGCACACTTCAACCAACGCTTAAAACATATGCTGTGCCCGTCCTGAGAAAACCCGTCCACAAAAAAACGGCCTCCAATCTCCCTGACGGATTGGCACCTGGCCAGTGTGAGGAATCGCGTTGAAAATTGAGATGCAGCAGAATCAGTCACTGGTCTTCCTACGGCTCGTTCGCTCTCTTCCACGAAGCACCCATACCAAGCGTACAGACCATACCAGATGCCAGGCATGGCTCACCACCGTCAGGAGCATATACCGACCATCCGAGATCACACCACGCGGCGACCGCCCTGGTAAGCCCGACAACACCACGCGTCCGACACCACACCAGTCGCCCAGACACCTCGACAGACACGAAAGCGAGAGGATGTTCCGACAGGAACTCAGCCTTGAGACGGACCAAGCAACTCACCAAGCACACACAGAAGCACCTTAAGCACGGCAAGTGGACGGCCGCAAACACGAAGCTTCACCGCGCCACCCCGATCCGACGAGACCCTCGCTGATCCGACCCATCCACCGACCTGAAATCGTCTCCGTGGGTCGATGCGGGACGTCGACCGTCGATCGGCGGATCCGACCGTCGACCGGTCGATCCTCAGGACCCGGATCCGGTCGACGGAGCCGCTCGAAGCGTCTCGCCGCGCCTGCGCTCGGCGGCGCGGAAGGAGCAGCTTTGACCTTAGGAGCAAGGCACTGCGGGGCAGACTGAGCAGCTTCTTGTGGACAAAAGACCAGTGAAGCAGTGAAGCAGTGTTGGATGTTTGCAAACACCTGCGCAATGAAGTTGGAAGATGCAGACAAATCTGACAACCAAATATACGAAGACCCGGACGAAGAAAGAGATCGATCCTGAGCTTCCTGCCCCTGCGGCCTCGTGCGATCGGACGTGTTGGGGCGGTGACTTGACCGTGCCGTGCCGATGCGCCCGACGGATCGACCATGACCAGTCCGCCCCGTACATCGGCGGGGCGTCGAGTTCAAGAGCGGGGATGGTCAGAGGTTCCTGTAGACCCACTAGAACACCTCCTCCCTCATGGAGCTAGTCTAGACTGCAACAGACTTGGGCCATCTTTGTGCTTCTAAAAACATTCACACTGCTTGGACCAACCAAAACTCCTCAGTCCCACCCACCCGCCGACCCTCTGCCTCCAACTTGGCAATGTCCAACTTGGCCTTCGCCGCTTTCACCGCCGCCCTCGCCTGTGCCACCGGGTCTGTGGCAGCTTCCGCCAGCTCGGTGGCCCGCTGCGCGGCAGCCTGCAGCGCAGCGAGGTCCTGGGCAGCGGCGGCAGCCTCAGCTGCCTGGGCGGCCGCCTCGGCCTCTTCCGCTTCCCGCGCCGCGCGGATGGCCGCCTCAGAAAAGGTGTGGTGTGGAGCGGAGGTCAAAAATGGACTTAATTAGATGATGAAAGAAGAAGCAATGAAGCAGCACTCGGAGTGGCTACCGCTTCACTTGCAAAATTCAGCGAAATTCTATGGAGCACTGGATTGGGGAAAGAAATTCTATATACAAATGTGGTTGTTTCTTCTGTTCGTGATTGAACTGAAAGGTGTCACTCATGCTGACCAAGCCCATCCCGCAGTCTGTCCTCGTCGCGCTCAGCCTCTTCCCTTAAGGCCTGGAGACCAGCCATTTGCGTGTGAATGGTTGAAATGCAGGGAGGTTTTGATGGCATCTGATAGCCAAACGTTAGTCACTGTTAGTCCATATGCCAAGGTTTTTAGTATGTTTTTTCCATTTACCAAGTAGTCTTTGGGGATCGGTATCCATGCGCATGTCAAAACTCTCGGAGTTGACCACATCAATTCTGCGGTCGACTGATACATAGATGAGTTATCTGAATATTCACCAGCATGGTTTCTTGACTGTATATTCTGGCTCGTGTCCCTTTTTGGGGGGAATGAGTTGAAGAACAATCTGCAAACAGCTGTTGAGTCATTGCGGGTGCCCTTATGTTTAGGGCAGCTTTCCATGTCTGGCCTTGGCTTGTGCAAGAAGTGCTTCTACCTGTCCAAGCGGGAGGGGACGCGTCAAGACGCCCTGGCTTCGGCCTGGCTTCCCTTCAAGCATCCCCGTTGTACTCGATCTTTTGCCGCGTCACAAAGGAACAAACATCCCAGAACATTGGGTGCATATTTGACCACCAAGACTGAACAGAATAGACACTACCTGGGAGGTCAACCTACCCGGTAGTTTGAGGCTCTGGGTTTTGACCCACAGCCATAATTTAGACCTTTCAAACCCTGCATGGGGCCCGCCGCTTTCGGAAGAAGTTATGTCAGAAAGCCTCCCACTGCCAGCACCTCCTGATCCGCTGCTCGTAGCAGCGTGCCCTGTGCGGCCAGCGACTCGTGAAACGGGGCACGCCCCACGAAGGGCACGCCCTGCGGCCGCAGGCGGGCGCTCACTTCCATGCATACCGGACGAGAAAGGAAAGCTGAGCTTGGTGGGGCTGTGAATCCTTGGTATAGGAAGAGTCCACAAAATGCATATCTGCCTCACGCATAGCAGGTGACAGCCGCAGTCTGACATATCAGACAAACTGCCAAGCCGCAGTTTAGCCAAGCTGTTGGAATCTCCCTATGTTGAACAATATGGTTGGGTTCATCTCACAGTAACGAGAAATGAGATGGTGACAGTGATCATGGAATGATAACTGTTTAGAAGTCCATTCATTTAAGGTTAGAGGCTCAACCATCCAGAATCCAGAATTGAAGTAACTACCACCAGTACGGTCGTAGGGATGGTACTCCGGTCATAAGGGCTCTGAATTCCTCTTTCACCAGAACTGCCTGGCAGGGCCGTCGAAACTCACCAGGATCTGAGGGCTTCACAAAAACAACACGCTGGCGCTGAACGCGAAACGGCCTGCAGAGCACCCAGCAAGAGCAGACTACCTTGGGAAGCCGTGACTTGGACGGTTGTTCAACTTCCGAGCGTCTTCAGCGAAGCAACAGATGTTGAGATGCAAAGCCAAAAGAGAAGTACTCCCAAAACCACTATGACTCCCCTGCCTCTCCAAAACCTCTCAGCTTCAGAAGTAGTACTCCCCCAACCACACTAACCCACCGGGACCGGAGGAAAAGGTGAGGCCGTTTACGGCGTCCGCCTCTAAACCGCTGAGGGTCCAGGTTGGCACGAAGAAAACAGAAGCACAAGCACTCTGAGTGATTCCCCGGCCGGTTTCCAGGTTGGGACGCTGCTCTCTGTTGCACTGGTGCTTGCTTCCACAGTGTCTCTCTTCCCAAAGACGCTGAAGTTTGGAGGGAAAGGTCTGGCCGAGACATCACAGCGCGTCGTCCATCGGTCGATCGACTCGCCCAGTCGCAGGCGATTCCGTGCCCCGAGCGTGGCGAGCTGCTGCGGCCTCATCGCTGCGGGTGGCGGAAGCGAGCAGCGGGTGCAGGGGCTTTCCCCAAAACAAGCGCGAAGATGGAAAGGAAAGAATCTGAACTGGTGGTCAAAGTCGACACCCGCGTCGACATGAAGGGCGAGGCTTCTCCAGGTTCTCCACTTACGAGTCTATTTTTCAAGTGTGACAAAAGATGTGAACAATACAAACGCAACAAAAAAATGCACCGCACACCAAGGCGCCAAAAACAAAACATCCCTTGTCTCTAGAAAAGTCCAGTTCGACTCTATGTGGCACCACTGAAGTGAAAATCGGCTCATCTAAAGATATCTAAAGATATGAAAAAAGAATACACATGAACTAAACTTTTTTACGCTTCAAGCAGCCATACGGAACTAGCCGGTAGCCTACGTGCACCTAATTAGTTGGCACATGAACTAAAATAAAAATAAAAAACATGTACCAGGGGTCACAAAGGGGTGGTGTTTAGTCCCCAAGTGATTGGGTAATGGGCACCCCTAACCTCCATGGATAGCACCCCTTTGAAACTCCTGGTAAAAATATCTAAGTTCAACGCATATCAAATGTCTAAATAGTCCGAGCGAGCCCCATCGAGCGTCTGCCCCGGAATGACAGACCCAAGGTCCTTGTCGTGCCATTGCTGCTACCGGAGTCATCTGCGAGGATCCCCAATCGTAGGAGAATCTGCCAAGGGTGGGAGATCTAAAAAGACCATGTGAGCTGAGCTGAACCCATGAACAGTGAACAGTTTTTATGAATTCATGGACTTAGCGGAACCATGTGCCTAAATGTGTTGGATGGAGTCTGGGCTCCAAACACCTTTCGCGGTTCACTCAAGGACCGAGTCCATATAGATATAGCAACCGATCATGCTGCGAATGGCATTCATGCGATGGTGATGAAGCAGTAGCACATGACTCCACATGAAAATATGTTCAGCTCGAGCCAAAGACAGAAAAATTGACCCTCTGAAGCAATCACCCACATTCTGACCGGAGCTGTCATCGACCTGGCTGACGGCCCCTCTTTCAGGCCTTCACTGTTCACTTTCATGGTCGTCCAGGGTCTTTCAACTCAACTTCTTCAACTCTCACTGCCCAAACTGCTCCGACTGTGTCATGCGGAAATCCATGTCAGGGAGGTCGAAATCTGAATGTTAATCTAAGTGAGTTGAATTCACACCGAATCCTAGGAATTTCAATATGACCTGATGCTGTCGCATGCTCATATCGGCGGATTGGAGTAAGTTGAGAGGCAAATGCTGAGAACAACTCCGACAGCCTGCCAAATGTTTCGTCCTTTGCTTAGCAAAGCGTGCGTTCCAGGGCAGATAGCCTAACGCAATCGCGGCCCTGAATTAGTTGGTCCTGCACTAAGAAGGTGTCTGCAGTCCTCATGGGAAGCCGAAGAATGAACAGGGATTATCATTCCATGCCAGTCTTTCCAACCCAAACACTACTTGGGACTCCAAGAATCCTCTGCAAAAGCTCATGTCTTCGCAATGTTCTTTCGTCCTCCTTCGCCCCGGATGACTTCCGGGGCTGCATCTTCTGATGGAGGTCCGCAAACCCACCAAGGCTGGGGGCGGTGTATGGTCCGCGCCGGGGAGACCCCCTAGTGATCTTGCCCCAACCAGCTGAGTAGACTGTAGACTGGTCTATTTCCCAACCAACCAGGGGGAGTCGGAACGCTCGAAGGGCTTAAAGAGGCGCTGCAGCGGAAATCAAAGGCGACACCCAGCGTGACCGAGTCTTTAGGTCGCAGGGTGTCTGAAGAAGTCGCAGGGGTGGCGAACCTGCCGTGCGCGAAACTGCTGAGCCGCAGTTTAGGAACAAACTCATCCATAGGTTGGAGCTGGTAGGAGCACGAGAAGTCGGGCTTAGAGAAGTCAAGAGAAGTCTTGGAGGGATTGGAAAACGTTCCCCTCGGAGGTCCGGAGCCTCCGCCCGTCAATCTGGGTGGCGCACACGGAGCCTCTATCTACTGAGGCGAAACCGACGCCTCAGCTCCGCGGCAAGCCCTCGTTGGGTCGGTCTGGCTCATTTTCAGGATGAGTCAAGCAAGCTACAAGCTGAAACCAACCACCAGCGCCCCTAGTAGACGAAATGTGTCCTATTCAGAACAGCTTGTGGCAAAGGTGTGACAAAGCAGAAACAGCTTGTGGCACTGTGGGTCCAAACCAGGGGACCTCTCTTGATCAGGAAAATGAACACAATAGTAGTCACAATAGATTAGATACAAGGGAGGTCAACCTACCAGCATGAAAACAAGCTCCAGGAGGTCAACCTTTGCCACGGCCAAGCCAGGTCAACAGGCGGACCCTTTCAGGCAACAAAGCAGCGGCAACCTGCCAGGACCGCAGCGGCAACCTGCAAGGACTGCAGTTCATCATCCAACAAGCCTTCTTAGTTCCATCATGTGCCATCTGCTGTACACATGAGTCCTCCACATAGACTCAATCTAGACTCAATGTAGACCCTGTACTTTTCAACAAAACCATTTCAATGTACCAGCTACTGTGACAAGTCTAGCCCCACTGAGAAGTTTTACAAGGCTTTTGGCCAAACACCTATGGATAGCCTGGCCAGCGAGGCTGTTGCTATTTAGCATGAGCATGCCTTTTTGTCGACTTCGCTTTGCTGACAGACTTCGAGTTCACTTCGCTAAAGTCTAAAAGTCTTTTCTCCCGGTCGTCGGGGGTGGATCTCACGAGCCACCGGTGCGAGAAGAGCCACCCGAGTCTTGCAGCACCGAGTCACAGGTGCGGAGGAGTCATCCGTCATCTGCTCGTGGCGAGGCGTCATTGCTCAGGATGCCCGTGCGCTGCATGCTGACCGCATGTGCCTGTCCAATACGTGCTGACCATCGATGCGAGAGATTCCAAACGGAATCGAGAGATTCCATGCTTGGTGGCCGTAACAGTGTCCATCTGAAGGTATTACTCTGAGGTATATTATTTGTAGATCGATGGGATGCTTCAACTTGAGGATTTTTTGACCAACAGCAATTTGCATCTCTCCGACTCACGTGGGCATGTGTCAAGGCTTCTGTTCAGTGCACTCACCTGAGACCATACTGTTGTATGACCTCTGGAAACAGCCTACAAAAGAACCTTGTTGAAAACACTTGAAAACAAATGTCCAAGCTGTTTCCAAGTGTGTTCAAGCTGTTGGTATCTCAAATATACCAAAACACTTGCAAAAAACATGGTTGATACCAACAGCAGTTTGCTTTTGTTCCCTGCTGCTTTTGGTATCTCCTCTTGTACCCACCCCGCATGATTTTCACGCGTCGATGAACACGGCCGGCCTCAATGAGCTTCGGCGAGGCCGCTGCCCCGGCCAAACGGGGAAGCAAATGAAACCTTGGGGATCTGTGGCCGTGTCCAGCCGTTTCATGTGGCACTTGGGGACTTGGGGGAGGGAGAAAGGGAAAAAGAAGCTTGGACAAGTGGGGTGACGTGGGGAAACAATTGTTCTCGTAAGTAGCCGGACTTGGGACCTCTAAGAAGAATGTGAAGTCAAAGTTAAAAGCCTTAAACCGCCTTAAACCTAAACCACATTTGGAAGAGGTGATTTTCATTGGAAACCAATGGGTCCACTTGTGCAGCCCGCAAAATCAGCCATCCATCCGCAAAGCAAATCACCGGACAGCCGAAACCGAAACCGGAGGCCAAACCGGACAGCCGTGAGAGCAGACCGGGCACCCGCAACAGACCGGGCCCCCTCACTTCTTCCGGATTCTTCCTGCAAAGTCGAAGATGCCATTGTCCGGCCTCGGCCACGAGGAGGTCACGCGAGGAGGTCACCGGCGACCGTAGCCATAAGCGCCGTAGCCAAATAAGTGGATCCCAGTAGGAGTGGTAGTCGTGGTGGTAGCGGTAGCAGTAGCAGTAGCAGTAGCAGTAGCAGTAGTCGTCGTGGTAGCGGTAGTGGTAGTCGAACTGGTAGTGGTCGTGGTCGTGGTGGTGATAGTAGTGGTAGTAGGTCAAGCTTAGATCTCCCCCTTGGACTGACTCACTGGCAACTCTTGAGGTCTGCAAGTTCGTTGGCTTTTGGTCCGGTCACCTCATGTGCTGCTTCCTGTGCTTCCCCCAAGTTCAACCTCTTACAAAGACTTCTGGGTCTCAAACAGGGAGACATCGGACCGCCAGGAAGCAGGAAAATAGACCCGTCTACCCATTGGTTGGGTGTCAGCCTCTAAAACTTCAATACACAGAATCCACGGTATCAACCCCATTCGTCGTCCCGAATCGAAACTGCACAGATCGACATCGAGCCGAACCGCACTGACCGTCAGCCGTCCCGAATCGAGCTTCGCGCATGAGCTTGTAATCGTGCCAGGGCTGTTCATGGGGCCATTCATACTGGCCAAACCAGCGGGGCGGAGAGTGGCGGAGGGTGGCAGAGGGGTAGAGCGGTGTTCAGCACCACTTTTTGGACCACCAAGACATGAGCAGTTGGTACCTGGATGGATCACACAACTTCATCTTGAGTTGTTAACAGTTTGCGTGACAAACAGCTGAGGAGTATCAAGTCCCGTGCAGACGTAGCGGGTCGTGTAAAGTAAAGCCAAAAACGGCTCAAGAACTCCTGCGCCAATAAGGGGTCTCTTTCTCGCTCACATGGTTTTGGATCAAGTGGTGCAAGAACTCCTTGCAGAAAAGCTCATCATCTTCAATCATACAGTTTCAATTACAAAGATGATCCCAGCAATCTAAATGCCTGGTGGAAAAAAAACGTTTCCCTTGACTCGTTGAACTCCAGTCGGCCTCCAATGGCACGACCCCGGCTTTCTTCCAGTCCGGCACAATCATCACCAGATCCTGCCAGGAGACTCACACGGCGCCACCAACCCGCTGCGGTCGGTGTTTTGGGGGCTAACCCACTCAGGAGGACAGCCCGCGCCTGACCCGCAGCTTACTCCCATTCCAGACCGTCCAGACAGGAAAAGTCTGCGGCTCGTTCGCTATGCGGTTTGGACGCGGAGTGTTTTCTGTTGTTTTTGTTCGTTTCAGACATCTTTCTTCAAACATTCAGACTGCAAAGAGATGTGCATTTCATGTATTCGAAAGCCGCAGTCCCGTGGGTGTACTCTCATCACCTGTCAGACAAGTACCTCTGACATTCGAGGTATCGACCATGACTGTACACCGTCATTGTCATAAGATATACCGTGGATAGCGCTAAAAAACATAGACTTAAACAGAAAACACATATAGTATATATATATATAGAAAGAGAGAGAGAGAGAGAGACACTTAAAAAAAAAAAAAGACTAACATCAAACAAATTTGACCTCACTCACAGGTCCCAAGAAACGTCCGACCGGTCTCACCATCGGTCCTTGCCCATCTTCGAGCCAACCTGGAGGAGATCACTTCGGCTCACGAGGGAGTGATCCCTATGAGTCCAAGCCCCCTGGCGCCCCTGGCGCAGGGCTTCCTCTCATGGGAAGAAGTGTTCCAGATGTGCTTAGTTAGCCAGTCACCTTTGGGCCTTTGGGATGAATTGCATGGAATTCCACTGTTCCTTCTAAGTCATACTTCAGGATGTCCTCCATTACTCCAGGTCCTCCAGGTGTGGCATCTGCAGCTCATTCTCGGATCCACATTCCAATCAACAGCCGCAGTAAAGGTCTCACCTTCGAGGATTTCTTGGAAAAAAAGGAAGACCGAACCCTGTACCATGCTCCGGTCGGTTTCCTTTGGAATCTCAGGAGCATTCTCCGCGCCTTGGTGTTCATGAACTGGCGAATCCGGTCGAAGATCCCTCGGGAGGCGGGGTGACGCTTCGGAAGCGAGGGGGGGCCGAACCCGCCCATGGGCTGCTCCAGCTGAACCCGGTGGAAAGGGCTACCTTCAACTGCTCAGCACATACATAACCGTGCAATAGGAGTATAGAAAAAGGATTGACTGTCCTGAAGGGATCGCTGGTCTATACCATCTAGAAAAAGCACAGCTGCTGACCCAAAACCTTAAAGAACCCCGGTCCACCTTGAGGCCCCAAAAGCATCTCCCAGTTCCTCTCCACATCACCGCACCCCCAGCGCTTTTTGAGACGTCTTCCAGCAACTCGGCCATCTGTCCAGCAAGGGCGCGGTGGATCCTCTTTGCCAGAGCTTTCCGCGGCACCCGGCCGACCGCCGCGCTGCTCGTCTCACAGAGTTGCAGCAGCTTTTCCACTGCTTGGGGTCTGGAGGAGAAGTCAATGCCACCGGGACCGTGGGAAGGGCAGTTCTGGATGTAGCAGCCTTCGCTGATGATCATCTCCTGAGGCCCGAGGTCTAAGGAACGGACTGAAGGACTGAAGTCAGCCACCCTTTGAACTACAACTTGGCAGAAAAGCACAGGTTGTCACCCCTAGAGGACATCCACGATCCCAACCCGCTCATGAATCCATTCAAAACGAACTGCTGTAGCAATGGCCCCATTCAAAAGCACGTTCATGCTCGAACAAAACACCATTAAAATATATTTAAAATGATAAGGCTACTTCGACCACCTTTGACACATCTTGACCCATTTTCCGCACTCACACTCTGACAAACACACCACGCGGACGTGGATGGCACGGCCCCTCTCAGACGACTCGTTTCTTCTCTACAATGGACAAACAAGAGGTGAACTCCACTTCTTTGGGAACGGAACGTGAGTTGGAGTGTATATCAAAGACTATACCAGTGAGACCCCAAACAGTTTCAGCTGGTTTTTCTACCTCAACTCCTTGAAGTCCAACGTTGGTGGAAACTATATGTGGGAACAGCATGCAACCGAAAACCAAACGTTTGGAAACAGGATGGCATCACATTTGAAACGCTGCATCACAGTTGCATTCATAGCCACAAGAAAACAAAGGGAAACCGAAACAGCGCGGCCAAGCAGGGAACAAGGTCCGGACAAGTCGAAAGGGCCAGGGCCCGCGGTGCAGCCATGGACACACGAACAAGGGTGAAGAAGTGGCCAATCCCGGGCCTAGTGCCTGACAGTGAGTCACTGTGTCTCCCTTCTTGTTGGTCACTGTGTCCCCCTTCTTGTTGGTCACTGTGTCTCCCTTCTTGTTGGTCACTGTGTC